TCACACCTGTTGAGTGGGGTCATCCGTCTTAACATCCAAAGCAAATTTTGTATGTGATGACCGCAACCTATTTTCTCCTAAACCTCAATTCAGAGCTCAACAAGCAGTGAGATCCTCAAAACTTGGCTTTAGGGTTATTTAAACCACCCTCAGAGAATTTTGCAATTTTCACTGTAATTTGAGTCTACTGCAAATTGGAAATGTTCTCAATTCTCTATTGCAAAGGAGATTATCAACTAAGAATAGCTGTTAGGCTGTCTTTTCTGTTTTTCAAATTAACTACTTGTGAATGTATTTTTCATCTGCCAATTCCAGAAGAAAAAAGAAAAAAAAAAATGAGGGAAAGCCTATGCCCAAGTAGAGCCACAGTTCCTATTTCTTTGCAACCTGTTTAGCTATGTTGCTATAGAAACAACCAGATTACTATATTAGGCTTCATCAGGAATTAAACTAACATGTTTAGAATCGGAGGTATTCTGAGCTGGGTGTCCCAAACATTCCTAAACAGTTCTGAGATTGGAATTCGAATGACTCAGAAGCTCAGGACTGAACTTTTCTTTTCTCTCAATCTGGTCCCTCACTTACTTCTTTTCAAGGATTTCATTATTCCTGTGTTTGTTAAATGCATAGATTTGTTTCTTGGTGAAGAATTTTGTTTGTTGGTTTAAAAAAAAATCTAGATGACAAAATGTAAACTAAAAAGATGCATTTTATGTAACTCATATATTATAATTATGTAAATTAACTATCTGCATAATTCGGTACCAAGTGGCCAGATGCATGTCTAGTGCATTGGAAAAATATGTGGTTTCTTAGCCTCTGATCTGATGGGCTTTCCTTCGCAGCTGCACTGGAATCCCATGGGTGCAACTATAAAAATTTGGGAAAAAGAATATTCATTCCTTTTGAATTTATTCAGAGGCAATAAAAATTATGTTCAAGCATCAAGAATTTTTACACCATTTCAAAATTTCAAAAAGTCGTAAATTATCTTTAAAATTAACAATTGTGATAAAAAAAATTCCATCTAAAATGTGGATTCCAGAGAACTATTTTCATATTCATTCTTTTAAATGAATACTGTAGTGATTAACTGCATACTTCTTGAAAAGATGTCTTATCAAAAAGCTTGTCACTGCCAAAACCGGTTTGGTTCAGTGGATAGAGCATCAGTCTGCGGACTAAAAGGTCCCAGGTTCGATTCCGGTCAAGGGCATGTACATTGGTTGCAGGCACATCCCCGGTAGGGGGTGTGCAAGAGGCAGCTGATCGATGATTCTCTCTCATTGATGTTTCTAACTCTCAATCCCTCTCTCTTTCTCTCTGTAAAAAAAAAAAAAAAAAAAAAAAAAAAAAGCTTGTCACTGCCAGCATGGCTCAGGGGTTGAGCACTGACCTACAAACCAGAAGGTCACTGTTCCATTCCTGGTCAGGGCACATGCCCAAGCTGAGGCCCAATCCACAGTAGGGGGCATGCAGGAAGCAGCCAATAATGATTCTCATCATTGACTTTTTTTCTCTCTCTCTCTCTCTCACTCTTCCTTCCACTCTGACATCAATAAAAAAATTTTTTTTAAGTTTTAACTAATCTACACTAAGAAAAATTACATGTATTCGAGCAAAAGTGAATCCAAACCATGGTGAGAGAGAAATTTTACAGAAAGCAGCTATACAAAGGCAAAAGATTAACAACAACAACAAAAAAGTATGTTGCTCCTAAACTGTTTTCTTCTTTTGGTGCAAAAGACATTAAATCTCATAGTTTCGATGCAATTATTTTTTCATCCATGGAAGTTTTGTATGGGCACTGTACTAAAATAGAGACAAAAAGTACATTTGAGGTTACTAGGGCCTGGGAAGGAGGGGTCAATGGGGAGTTATTGCTTAATGAATCGAATTTCTCTTTGGGGTAATGAAAAACTTGGGAAATAGTAAGAGTAACAGTTGCACAACATTGTAAATGCAATTTATGCCACTAAATAGTACAATTAGCAATAGTAAAAATTGCAAATTTTATATCCTTTTTATCACAAGAAAAAAAATAGCAACAAAAAAGGTACCAAAGAAAGCACATAGTGAATTATTTTTAGTGTTCGTATTTGCATAAAGAAACACTGAAAAAAATATATAAGAAACTAATATAGGTGGCTTCTTATAAATAACATGAATAGTCAGCCATATGCACTAATAAGGTTGAATTAGTTATAATACAAAACTTCTCTGTCCTGGTTGGTAAGTGGCCACTCCTCAATTCCCTGAATTTTCTCTACCTCTGCTCTTATCCCATGATCTAGTCAGTGAAGTGTTAACCTGGAAGAGTAGGTGGTGGCAGGTCAGCTTAGAATGAAGTGGGATGGTAACAGAGTGGAAGGGCAACTTTGCATATGAAATCTTTGATACCCTTTTGACTTTTGTGCCATCTATAATAATAAAAGCATAATATGCTAATTAGACTGGACAGCCAATCGACCTTCCATACGTGGCTGGGGCTACGAGGGCCGAGCCCCTTGCATGAATTCCATGCATCAGGCCTCTAGTGTAAATATATTATCCCTGTTACAGTAAAGTTTAAAACTAAATAAGGAAGAGGAGGGGGAGCAGTAAGGGGAGCGAGGACTGAATATGAGGAGGGGGAAAAGAGGAGTCCACCTGCTGGAAAAGGCAGTTAAGAGAGTTGTAACAACATGAATATAAACTTGTAAACCACAAGGAGCTCAGGGAATTGCAAGTCTTATAGAGAGCCTTAATATAGAGGGGGAGAAGATGAGGTTATATAGGTAAATTTGGGCCAGATATTAAAGAACCTCTATGTGACCTTAATCCAGTGGTTGGCAAACTGCGGCTTGCGAGCCACATACAGCTCTTTGGCCCCTTGAATGTGACTCTTCCACAAAATACCATGGGCATGCACGCGCAGTGCAAATTGAAACTTTGTGGCTCATGCGCAGAAGTCAGTTTTCAGCTCTCAAAAGAAATTTCAATCGTTGTACTGTTGATATTTGGCTCTGTTGACTAATGAGTTTGCCGACCACTGCCATAATCAATTCAAATTATTCTTATGGCACTGATTAATCATTTAGTTTTCTTTTAATCAGGAAAATTGAACGGATTTGTAAATTAGAAAAATAATTCTGACAACTGTATGGAGAATGCACTGAAGAGAGAAACTAGGAGTGGAAGTGGTAAGGAGATGGAAATAAGAAGTCATGGTTAGAAAATATTGAAGAAAGAGCTAATGGTCTTAGCCAAAAGAATAGTTAACTTGGGTTTTTTTTACAAAAGGGAGGAACAAAAGATGACTATGACTTGTAGCTTAGTTGACTAAATGAGTATATTGTAACCCTTTAAGGGGGGAATTCTAAATGGCAATTATTCAGAATTTTGATTATGTGAAATGTGACTATACTATCATGCCAAAGATAAAGCGTGATATAATGTGCAATTCAAATAAAAGTTACTATGCAAATGGTAATTATTTGATTTCCATTTTGCTTGACTGACTTCATACGAGGGAATATGCTAAGTTTTGTAGGAGAAAGTATTTTTATAAATAAATGAAAATCTAAAATTAAATAGTATTGGAATGTTATAAAGACTGTTAAAACTGACTTTCACAAATTTCTTTTCCACTGTTATAGCTTAGTTGTTAGGCATGCAGAAAAATAGCCTCTAGGTATTGTTACAAATTTCAGGATTTGTATTTTTATAGAAAATGAATTTCTCAGAATGCCAGCTGACACTTTTTTTCAATAAATGTATTCTCAAAATGCCATGGTATTTTCAGGGATGATATTGTTTCATCAGAATGGAAATTAGAATAAGAAGAGTTTCATAAAATATGGCCCTCCAAAAATGTTTTTTTAAGGAAATTTATTTAAGCATTCTTCCCTCGCTTATACATATACCTCCACCTTCCCCACTCTTTTCATCCTTGAAGCTGAACTTCAAGATGTAATCTACATTCATATTTTTCATGTCCTTACATTTATTCCTCAATTTACTTTGCCTGACTAGCCAATTTTTCTTAAGTGAAATGGCTGTTGCTAAGATCAACAGAGCTCAAGGATGTGACTAAATATCTCACATGAACTCTGTTGCATTTGCCTGCTTAGAAAAGCCATCTCTCTTGACATTTTTCTCTCTTTGCTCTCTGTGACGCTACACCTTTCTTTCGTCCTTTTCTGATAATTTCTTCTAAACCTTTGATGGCTTATTCTCTTTTCCGCCTTTAATTGCTGAATTTCTCAGGAGTGAGTTATACCTCTTGTTCACTTCTCACCCTATCCTCTTCTAGAACTTATGTCTATGATTTCAATTTGCAACTGTGAGCCAATGATCCTAGCCCCTTCCCTTTTTTCCAAATACATAGGCCAAATCTTTTCAAAGCAAATAACCTAATGCTTCTCAACCTCTCAAAGTGGATGTCTCAAAGTGGATATCTCAAACCAGTCATGTCCCAATAATCACTCTGCTAATCACTTCCATCAAACACGATCCTCTTCTGTTACTATGTACAATTTAATGAAATTATTATACATTCAATACACAAGTCAGAAACTCAGTAACACTTTTAACATTAACCTTTCATTAGATCCCCATACCCATCTCTTCATCAAGACTGTCAATTATTATTTCCTTAATTATCTCTTGCATTTCTGTACCTCTATCTGCACTGTCAAAACCCTGGTCCATAATTACCAGCATCTCTCTCCTGGATTGTTGTAAAAACTTTGTAACTATCCCAACTACCATGTTGCCCTCTATAATCTGAAAAATATACTGGATCAAAAGTTCTTCGTCCTCAAAAATGTGAAGGAATCATAGTAAATTTTTTAGTTTCCAAAGTGCTTATAGAAATGATGACAATTATTCAAATTAAACAGAAACACCTACCCACATCATACATTATCATTAATAAACAGCATCTCCTGTTTGGTTAGAATAAGTGGTTTGAGAGGTGGTAGAGCAAACAGTGAATGGCAAGCCCCATTTCCATTCCACTACATCTTCTGCTCTGGATCCGACCTTTCAAAACCAGAGTCTCTCTTCTGGCTTTTCTCATTCAGTCTTTTCCAGATTATTCTGGGGTCATCTGAGAGCCTGGGAAGGCCCCGGTGAGCTTCTCCAATAAAGGTGAGGAAGTCTTTAGTATGAAGATGCTCATCTATTTTCTCTTGGAGAAGAAGTGTCTCCAGTAAAGTCTTCTTTCGTTTCAGGAAGGCAGAGTGAGCCAGTTCTGCTCTTTTTCTGATACAATCAGGGCACCTCGAGGGCACGTGTTGCTTAACTGCGGCCGCCTGCTTTAGTGTTGCCATCACGTTTTTTAAATGCATTCTGTTCAAAAGCTCATCGGGGGCAGTACAGCTGGCGGCATCCACCTCTGGAGCCTCTGCATGCGACCTGAGCTGCGGCTCCTGCTGTCTGCTGCGCTTCTTTCCTTTAGAGGTAGCTCTGCGGTGCATCAGGTTCACCTTCACGGAGCAAAACGTCTGCAGGGCACGCGTCTGTTCATCAGACACCGGAGTGACCTCTGATGGAAGCTGAGTGTCTGGTGGGTGTCCGCCAGCATTAGACTCCTTGCCCTTGAGGTAGTCGATTCTTTTCCGACTAAACCTCTCTTCTGAAAGCTCGGATCGTTTGTCTTGATACTCCAACAAGCGTGCAGGGGGCTTTCCACTCTCAGGTTTGTCCCCTGAGACCGGAGGCGAGGGCAGCGGCCCTCCAGGGGAGCTGAGTGAACTTGAACTCTGTACCTCTTCCGAGAAGGACTCCAAGGCCTCAGGAGGGAGGTTATCCGTGGCCCTGCTGCCCAGTTGGGCCCATTCACGTGGCTTCTCGGATCCCCTGGCTTCTAGGCGGCCGGCCATCACACTGCATCACTTCCGGCTCCCCATCGGCTTTGCTTTGGTGGCTCAGGAAGCGGCCAGGCCTGAGCCGGGGAGAGCCGGACCCTGTGGGATTCGGCAGCGCGGCCTGGCGGCTCCTCTTCCGGGTGACGCCGTTTCGCTGCCTTGGCAACGCAGGGCGGACATGCGCACTGGGTCCCCGCGCGGCGCTCCTCCCCGCCCCTCGGGGCCCCACTGCGCAGACTCCGCCTCCCTGCCCCGGCGGCACAGGGTTTGCCCAGCGCCCTCTCCGCGGTCTCTGCGGCTGTTTTTAGTACAAAAACCAATAATCCTTGAGAAAGGGTGCAAGTGCCTTTCCTCGGGGGTCAAAGGAGACCACGTGGATGAGTCCAACAGGGACAGGCTGTCTCTGACTGACCTGAGAAAGGAGCTTCCCCAGACCCCGCAAATAAATAAAATAAATAAATAGTTTCAAATGATTAAAAATAAATAAATAACAATCCCCGCGGGCCAGAAGGCACAGGCAGAAACGCAGGAACACGCCTGCCCATCCTGCAGCCAGAGAGCACTGCCTGTAGAGCTGGCCTTAGGAGAGGAGGGAAACACTGACCCAGCCCCTCCACCCCATCCCCTCCACCTTCCCCCAGCCTTTCCATAGCCGCTCTGGCACAACTGTCCCTGTTCTGTCTGAAAACTTTTTTTTAAATTTCTTTATTTGTTATGGTATCACCTATTTGTCCTCATCCCCCTATTTCCATCCCAAACCCCTCCCCATGCATGCCTCCACCCCCTGTTGTCCATGACCACTGGTTAGTCTCATGTGCATGCACACAAGTCTTTTGGTTGATCTCTCCCCCTTATCTCCACCGTCCCCTACCTTCCCTCAAGGTCTGACACTCTGATAGATGCTTCCCTGTCTCGTGTCTCCGGGTCTGTTCTTGTTCTTCAGCTTATGTTGTTCATTATTTCCCCTAGATGCGTGAGATCATGTGATACAAGAAATATAAGAACCAAAACTGAGACAAGCCATAATGGTTATGCTGAGAGGCAAATGAGTCAGTCGGTAGTGAGTGCCTTTCTGGGCCAACAGTTCTTTTGAGACCCAATTTCAATGTCGAACATTTCCTGTTGTGTACATGTCAGCCATGGTATTTCAGTTCTGGGTGATGAGCAAATGGTGGTGATGCAGGTCTGACCATCTCTGGTTTGGCCCTGGGCACCCTTCAGCGCCCTCAGATCACAGGTTCTCAGGGCCCCTCTCAAAGGCACATCCACACTCCTCTCCCCTCTGTGTGTGATCAACTACTGATGCTCCTCTTTCCCTGGGAAGGCTTGCACACCCTCCACAGCTCCCTAACACTCCCCAACCTCTCACACAGCTTGCAGCCAAAAACTCCATGAGAGCAGACACCACAGCAGTGATGCCCGGAGCTCAGCGGGGGGCCTCACACAGAAAGTATTCAATAAATAAATCTCTGCTGAGAGAGTGAGCTGAAAGACTGCGGAGACAGAAACAAGCACTCCCTCTCACAGGCCTGGTGGGTTTTATAAGATAGAAATTACCAGCTCAAGGAACGTCAGTCTGTTCTTCTTCCCGAAGCCCCCAAATTCAATTGTTACTCATGGCATATTCCTTTACAACAGCTTTTAAAAAGCACGGTAGAGTGCTAAGAACAACTGTTCTCAAAAATTGTAAAACTTTATCTATGGAGACTGGCTTTTTCTAGATCTTAATAAATAAATATCTGAGTCTAAGTCTTAGTCATTTATTTCACATATTTCAGAATTGCCAGAGAATAGGCTTCCTTGCTCCATTGTGTGTGTGTGTGTGGGGGGGGGGGGAGAAGGGGGGGTGTTGTTATTCAAGTCTAGCCAGATATATTTAATATTATTCCAAAAATGTTCACTTTGGCAGAGAGCCAAAAGTCTGTAATGTTCAAAAAAGAACTCTCAAATATGAGTAAAATTCATAACAAAGGAAGAAAGATTCCAACTTCATGTATTCAAACCAAATTACATCTTATATAATAAAAATCTAATATGCTAAGTATCTGGTCATGGGTCCAACAAATCAAAATGTTAACACACTAACGATATGCTAAAGCCAATCAACTGCTCACTATAATGTGCACAGACCACCATGGGGCAGATAGTCAACGGGTAGGTTAGTTTACTGCTGGGGTCTGGCAGTTGAGGACTGAGTGAGAATGGCCGGACACTCCCTGGAGCCCTCCTGCAACCCTTCCCCAGCTGGCCAATCTCCTGCATCCCTTCCTGGCCCCAATCATGCACCGGTGGGATCCCTCGACCTGGCCTGAACCTTCTGGCAATCCAGGACCTTTCAGGGGATGTCAGAGAACTGGTTTTGACCCAATCCCACAGGCTAAGCCAAGGGACCAAACTGGTGCATGAATTCGTGTACCTGGCCTCTAATATCATCATAAAATGTTGGTCTTTAAAAGAGGTATCAAATAATGTATAGATAGTCTCAAGTAATTTCTAGCATCTCAGAAGCTCAAGATTTTCTATTTTAATGTTTATTTTAACACCTTCCTTATTCCCTGAATATTTATATTTAATTTATCATAACACATATTATCCCAAAAAATACTGAGCAAGATAGCTATACTTAAAAAATAATGTATATTGACATTTTCTAATATGCTAACTATCTTTAAAGATAACTTTGTCCCAGAAGCAAGTAAGTTTGGAGGGAACATCCTATAATTATCCGATTTCTTTGCAATAACTTGCATGACCCAGTAAACTACTTAACACTGAAAATGTATTATCTAAGGAAGTAAATTAGCTCAGTAGTACTATCATTATCAAATAAGATTAATAAAAACAGAGGTCAAAGTTTGGTTTTAAAAGCAGACTCTATGACCCTTTGTATAAACCTTACACTCTTTACTTTCATTTCTAAGTCTATCACTTAGAATAAAGTTTAAAGGAAACTCAACTTAAAATCCACACTCTTTTGTTATCTCTTTTCTATATGTGAAATAAAAGTAATATTAGCCTCCTATCTTCCTTCTATATGAGAATTTTCAATGATGCATATGTAACAATAAAAATCTCAGCCCATTATATAGACACTCCTGGCAAAAAATCTATATTCCATATTGTTAAGAGAGATTGCTAAGAGATCTTTGAACAAGTATAATGCCTTACACTATTTTTTAATTAGATGCTTCAAGTAAGAAAATAAAATAGGAATGCATAAAGGGGGGAAAAGGTGGAGAGTTACAACTTTTATATCTTACCTAAAATCTCTTTATATTACACCACTGAATACAAATCACTCCAACTTGCTATAGTGAGAGAAGAGTTAATCAAGATTTGCAAGAAAAAATATAGTACAATATTTTAAGTATTCTATTTGCATTGTTTTTATCAGTAAAAGAAAGACCAAGGGATTGACAGAAAATATTTATAGCTCTCCTAGAAAACTCAGGTAATGGTTCAGAGTCTCAATAACTTTGTTTTATAATCGCTAACTCTTTATTTAGCAAATATCCATGAACCTTGGTGAAATCGTTTTCTTTGGGCAAAACTAAAACTAATTATCTAAAACTAAAATTAACAAAAACTAAAACCAAATTATTCGATCAATACTCAAGCATACAAAGAAAATGCTACATTTTTATTTCTTGTTATATAAATGCAATTTTCTTTGCAAGGTCTCACCCATTTTGTCCATTTTTGTAGCTATGAAAAACTGTTACCTTGATAATTAATAATATCCTAGGCATTCTCGTGTCAGTCCCCTTTTGGCAAACATTCAATCAATGCTAAATCTAACTCCCTAATGAACTATTTCATCCTTCCTAAGATGGAGTCTACGTAGAGGGAAAACCTTTAATATCTATGGTGTTTGGACCCCTAACTTTGCACATATCATTTTGCTGGCCTTCACGGCACAATGCACGCAGTCCTTGGGTCTGTGCTGTTTTAACCAACGTGCAATTAGTCAGGCTCCTTCCAGGTTCCTGACAAAGTCCAAGGCCAGTGGAACTTGTCAAAACCTCTCCTGCCTATCTTGACACCCACTTGTCTTGACATCCACTGGTACTTTGGTTCCCTCTTGGAAGCTGGCTCTGTTTCTTTCAAAATCCTGCTGAGAAATGGCAGAGGAATAAAGGAATGTGCTCTGGCACTCACAGCATGGCCTAGAGCCTTGCCATTTCACCATCTCTCAGGAGACTTCCGCTGGCAAGCTGTTCCTCTAGAAATTCCAAACATCATGACATCTGTTAGGGGCCCCTGGGAAGGCCGCAGTCCTTTGTAGACCACATTGTGGCGAGGCTGCCTGGGGTGGGTGTAGGAGGGGATAGGAAGGAAAGAGACCAATCAGGTGTCCCTCCCTAACCACATTATGGCACTCATTTTATTGTCCTGCAGTTATCATTTCTGTCCTCGTAGGTCTTAATGGGAGGCAGAGCAATTGCGCTTCTTCCAGCTTTTCCTCAATAATCAAATATGCTTTGTAGCTTGAAGACTTAGCCTCAGAGAAGGGATCCAAACAAACCAGTCTTCCTACCTGATTTCCTTTCTCATTCATCTCTTCCTTTGGAGGGAGTCAGGCACACTTTCTGCTTCTGTCTGCAAGCTCTTCTCCCAGGTACCATAGCATCTGCTTTGACTGGTGGTATTTGGCCTGTACCCCTTCCTGGGGCTATTGTGCTGAAAAGAGTACCAAGATGAAATCTAGTTTATGAAAAAGGGAAATTAAGTTTACAGATCCTCCAAAAGTAGTCTTCCCTTTACATAAACTTCACAGCACTGTACTAGCTTCTGTGGACCAAGCAAAATGAAATGTTATTTCCTCTCCTAAGATGCTAAGTGAATGTGTCAGAAATCTCACTGTGAGAAATCATTTTTGTGGAGTGAAGAATCTTACATCACTTTTGATAAAGAACGATTTCAACTTACAGTGCAGTAATTGTCCCTTATTTTAAAAAATATTTCACATTTCAAATATCCCAATCTTCTTTTTTCCTTCAGTTTTATTACTTTTT